CGTAGTAGCTAAAATAGAAATAGAAATAGAAAATAATTACGAAACAATTTATTTAATAAGCAGTAATCTGTGAAGGAGCAAATAACTTCGGACTCCCAGTTATTTGTCATTGGGAATGATCATGAAATTACTTAGTGACTATTAATGTTACGTCTGAGCTCCGAGTCTTTGCTAGCGATACTTTTAACGAAGTTTGAAATTAAGTTTCGAGTTGTAGCGGCTGTGGAAGGAAATCATTAATTGCGATTTTAGGCCGGTAATAAAACTTAAAGATAAATCGTCTTTATAACTATTATCCTCTAGTGCTTCTTTCACTCTACCGGCCCGTAAAAGTAGACTGCTGTATACAGACATCTCAATGTAGGCACTTAATCAGTGCCCTACCTATTAATAAACCTGTACTTAACTACAATCACACTTGATAAGTTCGACTATAGATTATTTCTCGTGAACTCTATATTCATTATACGAAATTCAACAACATTAAGCTTCTAGTTTTTCCGTTCCAAGGACTTTCAAGTCATCTTGTGTTGTTGGGGATCACTTTGCCACTTTCAATAGTGGGACAATTAATGACATAAATATAATGTGATGTGTAATACACATAATTACACATAATTCTAAATTTAATTTTATCCATACATATTATAAAAGAGTAAATTGGCAATGTATTTTATATAATTTTCTCTCTCAATCATTTTTGTCATGAAAAGGAAAAACTTAAATTAAGTATTTAATACATACTTACACGTAAAGTTACACTTTAATACATTTTTACACGTTAAGAACGTTTTATTTTAATTTTAAAAAGCCATTGAAATAATTTTTTATACTCTTTTTATAGGCTACAGCCTAACACAGAAAGGGCTACAGGTGTGCTTCACCCCTTAAACCTAGTTTTAAATGTTTAATTGTGATTATTTTGGCTATTTTAGTCTAATAAATGAAAGCAAATGGGCAGCAGAAATAGTTAGTACTAATAAGAGGAGCCTTTTAGGTTATATCCCGTAAAAGTTCAAAGCAGAATATAGGTCTCTCCCACTGTAGGTAATTTTTCCTTTATAACTTTTACTATTAACTTATAACGTCATTACTTATTACACAATTTATGTGATACTAGCTTGCAAGGCATACGTTGTATCGCCTTTTTCGACGACACTTTGTCATGTCCTATTAAAAATCCTTAAATTCGCAAATAAATTGGTGGGTCACTGATGGGCAAAAAAACTATCCTGTCTCTCAAGTTAGATCAAACTGTACACGGTGTGCAAATTTAATTAAAATCGGTTAAGTAGTTTAAGAGTCCATCGCGGACAAGCAAAGTGACACGAAATTTACATATATATTAAGATAAAGCTTGACGCGAGATTTACCTGCGTAAATAAACAAGTAAATTAAATAATTAGATCCGATTGATTTTAAGTTACTAATTTTTGAAGTAATTACATACGAACTTAAATCTCGCGGCTCAAAATTTTCTCCCAGAATTTCAAAACACTTTCTGGCGACTTTAGAAGTGGTTCTTCTAAAAATATTTTAAATGATGCTTTAAGAGTATTTCATCAGTTGGATCTCCTTCTTGCTAATGTTGAAATATTATGTACATGTTTTCCAATATAACTAGAATTTAAGAAATCATCCAAGCACTAACGTGAACCTGCAGCTTGTATGTCATTTGAGTTAGATGGCATATTTTCCGTTTCCACGCTTGAAGAAATATGTGTATTCTTTTGGTTTAGTAAGTTCCTTTTCTGTATACGGTTTATCCAGAAAAGAAACTAAATTTATGAAATTGTTTTGTATAGTTATAATTTGCTGTTCATTTGTGATAGTAGAATTTACTCTAGGGTATTTGCTTAAATTCTTTAAAATATTTGCACCATGTAGGATCTGAAAAGAAATATTTTTAAATAAAAGGATATTACTATGTGATCGACTAAAAGTTTAATGACAACTAATAGCTGTATATAATAACATAAAACGTCATCATTAAACTTTTTAGCCGACTTCGAAAAAGATCAATTCGACCTGTATGTTTGTAATATTGTAGGAATTAATATTCAAATAATATGATGAAGAGTATGTATGTATGCATATCTGTATGAATGCCCATATTTCACGTATTTCTAAGCAACTATGAGTCCGATTGCAATTTTCGACCGGAGAAGTTATGTGGTAGAGCCATGCTAAAGCTATATTTAAAATATAGTTGTAGCACGAATTGGTCGGCTCGACAGGGGAAGGACCACGCTCTCAAGAAATACCAGCGTAAAATAGCAACTCAACGCTGCTGTATCTGGTATGCATTTTGATTCGTATTTGAGGATAGTAGATAGATATAAATAGATATATGTAAATGTCTATGGGCCACATCAACTACTTACCATTAGGTAGACTGTCTATCAGCCTATCCTATAAAAAATATTATTTTTTAATAGATTAAGCATTGTACACCTTAAGGAACAGCGCAATTTTCATAAAAATCGCTTCAGTAATTTCAAAGAAATGTTATGTTAAGCGTAAAGTCGCTTTGAATTTTAACCAACTTAAAAAAGAGGTTATCAATTCGACACGTATGTGTGTAAAATTATTGGAACTACAAAATATTCACATATGATAATCTAAGTATCTAACAAATTTTTTAGATATGTGTATGTACGTATGTATGTTTGTCCACGCATTTCTCCGAAACTAGTAATCGGATCGCGATCATTATTTTTTATTCATTTAAACTTGGGGATTATTTCCTTACATTTATTTCAACTTAGGGAATAATAATGATTTCATCATAAACGGTTCACTAGTTTTTTGACATTGACTAAAACATGTAACTAAAATTGAAATCGTTTTCGTAATAAATAGTTATTACAACTTAATACTAAAAATTACCAAAAATAACTGAACGAGGTATTTAATTTATTAAAGATTTAAATTTTTAGGTCGGTGTCAGACAACAACGCTTTAAGAAAACAAATTTTACAAAAAAAAATGCTATAAAACTAATTTAACATTAATTAAATCTCTTAATTTAACATTAATTAACATTTTTATACGAGTAGACAATATGAAATAATAATCTGAAAACCAGTGATTTAGAATCTATAAATTTGTTTTATCTATAAGGTAGCAATAGTGTTGGTTTATAATGCAACTTTAAGTAATAATAATCCAAATTAAAATAAAAAACAAAAATTTAACTTTTACATAACATTACATTTGGTGGCATTTTTAGGTTTTTCTAATTCATTTTGTTATTTTGTAGGTAGGCACAGTCTGCAACAACTTTATAATGTCTTTTAGGAAGACTTTAATCTCCCCCGTGACCATTATAGCCGTAAAGCATTCGAAACGACAGGAACCAAAAATCTAAATACATCGTCGATGAAATCCGAAAATATAGTTTTATTTAATGTGTCAAATATTTACGTAAATTTAAGAAAGTATAATGCTTTCAGACGCGAATACCTATTTAATGAGTAAATATGACAAGGTATGAACTCCAATTAGTTATAATTAAAATATAGGTATTTGGTACATCAATTGCCATGTTTTTATACGTATCGAAATAAATTTGCTTTGCTTTGAAAAACAAAAAATGGTAATTCTCTAATTGGTTGGATTTCGTTTTGTTACTTAATTTAGTATATTCATAATCTTTAATTTTTTTAATTTTTTTTTCTTGAAATAGTGTTTATTTGCGACATTCATTTGTGGTTGTGCACGAAAAGAGTAGAGCTTTATTAAAATTTAGAAACTACAGATTAGTATAGGCAACACTAAATATAACAGAAAATAATCTGACCAACTTTTAGTATGGATGGCTCCATGAAATCTTGAAAAAATATTTACTGTTTCATACATTTGGCCGAGTTTAGAAAACATAAATGTATGGAACAGCTGTTTTTCTTTTGCGTATTCGATGTGGGAAAAAACATATTGTAAGGTTTCTTAGAAAAAACTGTTTATATTTAAAGTACAAATAACCTTGAAAGTACTTTAGTGTCCTGTTTTTAGGAGACCCTGTACCTATACGTAAATACAATATTTTTCTTAATAAAAATGGCTGTTAAGATTAAAATATCTATAAGATTTATTAATGTTTTACGACGCATTTCCAATATTTGTAATATGTACATATATGTTTTTATACGTGGTAGAACCATGGTGCAGTTATATTAGTAGTATACATGTAGCACGAATAGGTCGGCTCGATCGGGGAAAAACCACACTCTCAAAGAATACCAGCGTAAGCGTAGCTTAATGCTGCTGTGTTTCGTATAGTGAGTGCAGAGAATCGGAGACCTTTTTTACTGGAAACATGGCATTCCATCTTAGACCTCACGGGTGACAACGCATCTGCATTTTAATTTGTAATCGAGGATAGATGTAGATGTATATGGGCCGCAGCAACCACTTACCATCAGGTCGACTGTGTGCTCGTTTGTCACCATATCCTATAAAAAAATGATATCTATCTAGGTATTATTATTAGATAATACGTCGTAAATCGCAACTCGCAAGCGGTTGATACTCGTATTTGTTGTTTTTACATATGTCCATTCACTTTACAACGTTGCCAGTTCGCTTCTGGAGAGCGTGCAGTGTGGGAAATTTCCCGACCGTTCCAGCTATCTAGTACACGAATTGGATCCCTGGTTCCACCCATCTCGTAAGTGGGGTAAATCCGAGCGCTTTTAAAAACCTATAAGTTTGGCAACGTCGCGTATTTATCGTTATTATAACGTTAACTTGCCTGTTACAATTTCGTTCTGTTGGCTTGCTGAAGTAACGATACCATTATAACGTTATTATATTTTTAAAAATTCTGTTATTTATAACGTTTTAAGACTCTGACTAGAGGCGACACTACATTTAGTTACGCTGTACCATCAATTCAGTCTCGCTCGTGACGTTGTACGAAACAGCTGACTTGTGTTTACGTTTACAAAGTTTTTTTTTTTCTATCCTTAGTTTGAAATTATAATAAAAACAACGCAAAAATGCCCAAGTGTGACAACTGTGACAAACTAATAGCCAAGAAATCCGCTATTCTCGAGTGCAACACATGCTCAAAAACAGTGCATGCTACCCAGGCATGCACCAGCCTAACATCTAAGCAATTAGCAGCACTACGCAACACTGAGAATCTGGAATGGACCTGCGAAGTTTGTTGCCGTGAAACTCCAAGGCAAAGGTCATTTGTCATACAAGAGGAGGAAGAGGAAGACGACGAGGAACTATTATTAACACAGGGAGCTGACAGCGGATCCAACGCGATGAAAAAGTTACTAAGCGACATATCAATCGAGGTTAAAAAAGCAGTAAAGAAAGAAATAGGCTCAGTAAATGAAGCGCTCAGCTCTTGTTGTCAAAAAATGGATGGAATAATGGACACTTTAGTGACGATTAGCGGAAAAATAAAAGAACTGGGAAACAAGAATACATATTTAACAAACCAAAATAAACATCATCAAAATCCATGCTGTGGAACAATACATTGGAAACCTTGAGCAAAAACAGCTTAATAATACATTTGAAGTCGCAGGAGTACCCGAAATAAAAGACGAAAATACGGAAATTATCCTAAATACACTAGCAACGAAATTAAATATTGTAAAAAAAGAAATAACTACAGTTAAAAGATTGAAAGGGAAAAATGGAAAGGAGGGCGTGATCCAGGTATCTTTGAAACAGGAGGAACAAATAAACCAGTGAATAAAAGCTGCAAGAAAAGTAACTACACTTGCAGAGGACATCATTTCCTGTCCAGATCCTGCTACAGCAAGAACAAAGATAATACGACGTGCCCTATCCAGTGCAAATAAAACCCTTCTGTGGCATGCTAAGCAAAAACTTAAGGTTACTTATAAATATATATGGTTCCAGGGCGGTAGAATTTTAGTTCGTAAGAATGACAACGATAAGCCTGTGATCATCCGAAACCTAAGTGACATTGAAAAAATGGCGGTGGAGCATATTGTAAGTCGGTAGTAGAAACTTTACGCACTAGGCACTACTTTGGAAGTAACTGAAATTTATGATTCGGCAAATTTATGTGAATTTAGTACCTATCTACCTAAACATACTAATCTTTTTAATATTGTACATATAAATATTAGATCTATTATCAAAAACTTTAGTGCATTACTGCAAACAATAAACCAATCACCAATAGCTATAGACGTCATTATACTAACTGAAGTAGGAATTTCAATAAGTAGTAATCTGTCTCAATTATTTTCTATAAACGGGTATGAAATGTGCAGTAAGCTTCGTGAGCAGCGACTTGGTGGTGGTATTATAATGTACATTAACAATTGCCACAGTTTTGAAGTATTATATAACTTAAAATTAACCCACTGTGAATCATTAATTGTAAACATCCAATATTGTCACCACTACACGACTCACATTTGCGCATTATATCGACCGCCTAATGAAAGCAAGCATCTCTTTATTAATGAATTTAAAGTACTACTATGTCAAAATTTAATCAAACACTCTGACTTGTACATAATCGGAGACATAAATGGAATTAAAAAATAACATTCATGATTACTACTTAAGCCGCTTGGCCGAGTGTGGTCTGACGAGAGCGATTTCTGATTTTACAAGAATAGAGATTCGAAATGAAAAAATCACGCGGAGTTGTATTGACAACATATTCGCGAGATCGCGCACGTCTAACATCTACTCGGCTGCACTTGGAACAGTACTGGCAGATCACCGCATGTGCGTGCTAACGCGCGCCGGAACTGAGGCTACCAGCAGCAGCGTACAGGCTGAGTCAAAACTCAAACAATTAATTAATAACAAAAAATTAATATCACTTCTCGAAAACTTCGAGTGGAATAAGATTGATGATATGCAGTGTCCGACAGAGATATATAACTTTATTCAAAATAGCTTTGAATACTATTATAATAATTCTAAATATACTACAAAGACTAGCATAAATAGTAAAAGAAATAAGGAAAGATGGATAAAATAATAAGATAAAATTTTACTGCGCAAATAGAGACTACCTGTATAACAAGTGGAAAAAGATACAACCGATAAAATATTACGACTAGAGTTTAATAAAATTAGGAATAAAACACATAAACTTATTGAAATGTCTCGAAACAACTACTAGTATCACGAAATAAATAATAACAAAAATAACCCAAGGAAGCTATGGAATATTCTAAATTCCATCACAGGCAGAGTAAATAAATCATTAGATGCGGCGATATTAAAGGCTTTTCAAAAAAACAAATTAACAGCTAAACAATTGGCAAATAATTTTGGTAAAGATTTTGTTAAAAATGTAGAAAAAATACTACCCAACTGTAAATAAAACCTCTTAGATCAAGCAGAGTACATATTTCCTCAGAATAGTTCAATGCGGTTTAAAGCAGCAGATGGAAAGAGCGTAAATAAAATAATCCAGAAATTGAACACAAACAAATCCGCTAGAGTAGACCAGATTCGCTGTATAGACATAAAATCCTTATGTGAAAAAATCACAACAGCAATTGCAAAGTTGATTAATACTAGTGTTCATTCTGGTATTTATCCCTCAGAATTAAAGGTAGGAATAGTGAGACCCATCTACAAAAAGGAGTCACACTGTGGTTATGACAATTATAGGCCAATTACAATACTTCCTGTAATAGATAAAATAGTTGAAAAATATATATGTAATCAGATACATAAATATTATATATCGAATGACGTTCTGTCCAGCACTCAGTTTGGCTTTCAAAAAAATAATTCAACTACTTCTTTGTTATCAAAATTTACCGATGAAATTAATACTTATTTAGACAACAAACAACACATAAATCTTTTATTTATTGACTACAGCAAAGCATTTGATACTCTGAAACACGATTTATTAATACAAAAACTGGAAAATACAGGCATACGCGGGCCTTTACTCAGGTGGTGTGAAAATTACCTCAAAGATAGAAAATACCGGATGAGAATTGAAAATGATTACAGTGATGAAATACCTGTAACTACTGGAACTGCTCAGGGATCAGTTCTTGGCCCTTTACACTATCTGGCGTTTGTAAATGACATGGGGAATGTGATTAAACATAGTTCAGTGTATGCAGACGATACTTGCCGAGTAATAGCCAATAAAGATATAGCAAAAGCAGAAAAAATGTTACAACATGACTTTACTAACCTCTGTATGTGGTCACATGACGCGGGACTCGTATTAAATTCTGGTAAAACTAAAATTATACATGTACGCTCGATGCACTCTAACAAATACGAAAGACCAATAAAAATACTAGCACACACCCACGACTGCCTTCATAGTTCGTCTAAATTAAATACTAACTGTAATTGTAATCCTCTAAAACAAGTTAACACTTATAAATACCTAGGTCTGATTGTGGATGAAAGATTCAATTGGGGTAAACACGTTGAGCATGTATGTAACAAGCTACGGGCTATGCTAGCAAAGTTTGCAATACTAAAATACAAAATGCCATTTCATATCCTTATAAATCTGTATAACGCTCTTGCTGAGTCTCTTATTTCTTATGGCATTACAAGTTATGGAAAAACATTTAAAACTTATTTAGATAAAATATATAACCTACAAATCAGAATATTAAAAATAATTATACCTAAGAAAGTAAAAACAAAAATATACAGTAAAAACAATATTAATGGAATATTTAAATTTTGCAAAGTATGGCCTATACACACGAAATTTGAGATGCTAATACTAACAGAACAATTTCACAATAAAAAAGTGCAAGTTAAAACTAACCATAAAACTATTAAAAGAAAAGTTATACAAAATAAACTCGTAACACCAAAAATATATAACTACTATGGTAAACGTACAAATAGATATTTAATTCCTACTTTAATGAACCAAATAAGATACTCTCAGATATCAATGAAGATAACTACAAAAACAAATTAAAAAAATATTTCTACGAACAGCTACAACGGGAGTAAATAAATATTTAATACAAAATTATATAATATACTTATAAAATCATCAATTAATTGTTCTAATTCTTATAAATATATGTACATATATCTCTTATATTTATGGATTAAATATGTATACTTGCAACTAAAATAAAAACAAATCAAAAATGAAAAACTATAAATATTAATAAAAAAAAGATCAACTCACAGTTTTTGCACCAACCTGTATACTGCTTCTGCAACTAGATAATCCGAGCGCCCGATAAGAACAATCTAATTGTCACGCTCACACTCGTGGGCTCGCAGAAACCGGTTTTTCTGTCAATACGGCCCGTCCAGAACGCCGGTGATTTGCAATTACGGTGATTTGAAATTTATCACTTAAAAATATGTACATATTTACTTAATATTATTATTACTGTTTATAAGCAGCCATCAATTAGATGATTGTATTAATAGTTTGTATAATGTATGTGATTTTACTATACTTTTAATTGTGTGAGACTGTAACTTGCGGACAAACCTCACGGTTGTTGCAAGTTAATTACATTTAACTCATGTATTTACTACAATGATATAAATAAATTAAAAAAAAAATTGCGGCGTTAGCGCCGCACTTTTTTCAATTTTATCGCTAGGCGCTAGTGAGATGACACGTTTAATTAATTATATAAAAAAAATCCAGATAAAATACGCCTTGGTCTGTTTTTAGATATTGCACAAATGATTCAAGTAATGTTAGCAAATACCAAGGAACAACTTTTCATCGGTTAATAAGATACTTAATCAATAAAAAAGTATTACAATATATTTATAATAAAACAAATTGTTCCTAAGATGCCATCTCGTGTCATGGAATATAGATTATGAAATTAGTTTGTTAAGTGTGACATTTCTGTGGGTACGTAAATATAAAACGAATATATTATTATGTACATTTTTTTTGTAGAACCATAATATATAAGTTATCATAAGAAGGCTTAATTGTTTATATTTAAATCTGTTCATTATAGTTTTATTTTATTTTTGGGTTTACACATTAAAGTCAAAGTGAAATAAGTTCATCTATGTTTAACTCTCACGTGCCCAGCACTTAATAACGACTCTTACTCTAATTTAAATAAATGTATTTGTAATTTACATGTTATATAAATAAGTTTTTTAAATATACATTTGGTATGTTTTTTTATTTGACATAGCTACATTTTATAATATTCAGATAAAAATATCATTAAAATGTAATTTTGATATAATATCATGTAATATTATATTAAATTAGCAAATATAATATACAAAATAAGAGACAAAATTTAAAATTTGTACTCGATATAATTTACCTATTTAACAATACTATCTATTATTACCCACTGATCATTCTACCTATGTTTATTCTATGATGAAAAACCAACCGCGTGAACACAGAGTATCGCAAATTTTTTGTTTGAAATATCTGTTCTAGTACGTAAGTAAATATAAGTTCAATGGTTACAAATAATAACCTATTCCTCTAACTTTTGCTCGAGCCTTGTACTACATTACCAGCTATCGTGTTTACGACTAACAAACC